AGGTCTCTCTAATCTTTGACCCCTCAAATTCCTACAATCCCAGCTCAAGAAGGTCCCCAATCTGGCTCTAAGACTGAGGACAAGATGCTTTCCTAGTTCGATGCGGCATGAGGGGAAGCAGGGCACAAATCCTGACAGGTCAGTATCTAGTTGTGTCAATGTGATTCAAAACCCACTGATTTTCATGTGACTGCCATGTGCCACACACCAGGTTACTTCTCTTCTTACAACAACCCTTTATACTGGGCCCCTGCTATTACTGTCTTATGGACGGCAGGCATAAAAATACAGAACAAGTCACTGGGAATAACTGTTCTCATCAATGACCCTAGCAGAGCATTCCAGATAGATGGCTGGTTGGGCCTGCTAGTGAGTGGGCCTCAGGACACTGGCCAAATTCTTCTATAGCCCCCAGTCCTGTCACACATCTTCAGAGGAAGAGCCCACCATCTGGCCCTTCTGGGCAGTGAACCTAAAGGGATGACACCTACCTTAGAAATCACCGTGTGCTCCCCAAAATGGCGGATCAAGTCTCCCCGCATCACGAGCTGCAGCTGCTCTTCTGACAGCAGTGGCAGGGAGGCACCCATCAGGCGGAAACACATGTAGCTAAGAAGGGGTGGGGCAGAGCCTGGTCAGAGACCCTGTACTTTGTGTGGGCTTCAGAACACATCCCACCCAGAGGTTAGTGCCTCGCACATACCTGGTTGACCAGCTTAGCTTCTTCAGCAGCCCCTGCTCCACAACCTCTTTCCAAAACAGTGTGAATTTGTTCTCCTTAAGTGACAGGCGGAGGAGGCTCAGAGTCACATCTGGCAGCTTTTGCTCCTTCCTTACAGACTTGGCTGCCGTCTTCAGCACGCTCACTAGGCTACAGAGTGCAGATGGGACTCAGCAACACTGCCTAGAGGTCTGAGGTTCAGGACACCCCCCAAGGAGAGCCCACCCACTCTCTCCTCAAACCTGGGGATAGTCTCTTCTGAGAACAGGTCAACTGAGCCCACCAGTGACTCAAGCTTCGCTGGCACCCTCTGCTGAGCCAAGAGGAAGAGCTCCAGGTACTTAGGGGACCCGAGGATCACTTTCAAGTCATCCTTGAGGACCTTTGGCAGGATCTCCTCGAACATGGACTCTGGGACCTGGAATGAGAGCATGGGTGGAGAGGGCGGCTCTCCTAGCACCTTCGTTTCTCCTTCCGGGTTTTGCTCTACCCCATGGGCTTTTGATACGGCTTCAGTCAGCCAACTTGTTAATTGTCAGACCTGTAAGAAAGTGCTGGCTACCCATCCCCAGCATCCTAGATGGCTAACTGGCCTGGGGCTACATTTAAAATTATTCTTTTTGTGTTTTAGAGAACCAGCCTGATTCTTACACACAGAGCCCTATATGAGGGGCTGCAACTTAAATTCTGGTTCTCTGTTTGTGCAGAAAGTCCCAACCAGGAATGAGCTAGTGGCAAATGATTCTAAATGTGAACCTGCCTCGGTCTCTCAAGTAGACAGAGTAACTATGGCAAATGTATTCAGACTGCCTTCTACATATTCAGGCGCTGACAAACACTGTTCCAGATCTCAGAAACCAGAGTTACGGAGCATTTGAAGTGCCTAACTGAATGGAGACATGCTGCGAACCCGAAAGACAGGCAAAATTTAAGATATTTGGTGACATGGGGCTAGAGAGATGGTTCAGCAGTTATGAGCACTGTCTAGTCTTCCAAAGGTCCTGAGTTCAATTCTCAGCAACCACATGGTGGCTCACAACCATCTGTAATGAGATCTGGTGCCCTCTTCTGGGCTGCAGGCATACATGCAGGCAAAACAGAAAACAGTATACACAGAATAAAAAAACTTTAAGATATTTGCTGACCAAAAAAAAAAAAAATCCAAAACTATCTTCACAGCTCTTTACACCAGCTGCATGGTTAAACTATCTGTCTTGATGGTCTCGTGTGCTAATCGAAATCTTCTCAATGTTCCCAGAACCAAATAACACAACCTGTGATCCCATACCTTGGAGAGGATGTCCACCAGGACCTTCAATGGCTGGCCTTGTAAGTGGTTGTTGTGATGGCAGAGGCTATTCAGCAATTTCACTGACTTCATCAGGGCCTCTTGGTCCTAGTACCCACAGAAAACATAGTACAAACAGGGCACACACTATTGTCAGTTCCCCACCAACCCTAACCCTTGCCTCCTGTACCCAACACTCTTACCTTCACCAGGCGGCCTGACTGAAAGAGAGCTAGCACTCCAAATAGGTGTGCAAAGAGAGCAGGTCTCAGCATCGCCTGGAGAAAGATACCAAACACGGGTGAAGAGGGTCCATGACCCCACCCATGCCTGTTCAGACGGGGGCTGGTATGTCTGGGACCACTCACCTTGTTTGCTGTTTGCAGATTGTATTTTTCTTGTATCTGAGTCAGGATGCTGCATAAGGGAATGTCTTCAAAAGACTGCAACAGCTGCCAGCAAAACCAAAAGGAGCTTAGAGGAGTGACCCAGGGAAGCCACACTAGACCAAGTCAACTCCCCTTCCTCAGCTTTCCCTCTACATAACCTTGGTCACTTCTCTCATCTCTCACAAGTGCTACGGGATAACCTACTGCTTTCATGGAACTAAATCTTGCACTGAGCCCCATCTCTACCAGGGTTTCTGAAGGCTTCGATTGCTCATCTATATCTCCTGAAAAACTCATCTCAGCCACACATCCTAAGCCGAGATGCCTTGAGGTTAACCCTACAGGATAGTGTTCACTGTTACTCTTTGTTGCACGCATTTTTGAGCGGCGGACCATTAGTTAAGTTCCTAACCTAGAGAGGGGTCCCCAGCCTTGCATAAGTCAACTTCAAAGTTCACTACTTCCAATAACTGTAGCTAATATGCCTACTAAACATGTATCAGAAAGAAATTTGCGGAATCTTCTCGGATTTCCCCTTACCCAGCGGCTGCGGTGCCCCCTATTCTTACATCCCATCTTTTGACCAGCGTGGTTGCGCCCTTGCCAGCGCGCCGCCTCACCTGTGCCAGAGCCAGGCTATAGCAAGGCCGAGCGGCTTCTCGGCCCATTCCAAGTCCAGTGATCAGGCGCTTCAGGGCGTACTTCATCTCCGAACCCTGCGGAACCAAAAGTATCCCTCGTGTTCAACAGTGACCTGGGAGCCCGCCCCTGCCCCCTTGCATCTAGAGCCGCGACTGCGTGTGCGGGTCCCGCCATCATACACTCGGCCTTGTGCGCAAGTACTCCAGCAACTTCTCGGTGGCCTGGAGCCGCGTTTCCTGCTCCGGCTTCGCGATGTCCCAGAAGAAGTCCAAGAACTCGCGGCTGTGCTCCAGTAGGTCGCGGCGGTCATCTTGCGCCGATTCTGCGGGAGACGCAGGCTCAGCTTTCGTGGGACTCTTCACCTCCGCCATGCTGCACGAAACACGTGGGCTCGGAAGACGGTCTCTTCCAGGTCAGGCCCCGGCGCGTGCGCAGTGGGACGGCCGGCTGGGGGCGGGGCCTGGAGGTCCGGAGTGGTTGGGAGTGGTGGGGCGGGACGTAGTGCTTTTCCGGTCTGGTCTTGGTTGGAGCAGCGTCTGGTGCTCACTCACGCGTGTGGGGTGACTGCTGCTTTGATCCCTTTCTTTACACTGACAGCGTTTCGGACGGCCCGCTGCACAAGTCCACTGAAAAGCAGCGGTACGGTCTCCTTCCAGACTTCCATCAACTCGCGAGCCATTCCGATACCCGTGCGTCAGCTATTCCCCGCCTACTGTGTGCTCTGGAACAAAGCCACGGCTTCCGAGGACTTTCTAGTTGAAGAACAAGTAGCAAAATCCATTTAAAATGATAATTGTGATGAAAATAAGGACTGTAGTTAGCAGAACCCTTTAAATGTTAAAATATATCAAAAACATCACCTGTTAAAAGCCTTGAAAATTAAAATTCAATAGATCCTAAGATACTGTTTAAGAGTGTAGTCACTGGTTGAGACTAACAAATCTGTGACATATGGGCAGACAGCTGAGGGACAAGATGGACTCAACTGTTCCTCTGGGCAAAAGTGAAAGAGGGACAAAAAAAAAAAACTAATCAAGGACATTGCTTCTACAAAGGCCCATCTTCAAAGATAAGGGGAAGGCCACAGAGGATACAGGAAGAGCAACGTTGTTTAGGACCCCAGGCCAGGGTCAAGAGTTCAGACTTTCTTCTGAGTCTGCAGGGAAGGATTTACATCGGATTTACATTTACAAAAGATTGCTGTTGGCTGAGTGGGCATAGCCTTTGACTCTAAGTACAGAGACAGTAAACTGGACTAGGATCAGACCTGGGCTAATCTGGAGCTGGGCAGGTTGGGTGCTGAACTGAGTCAAAGGAAAGAATTAGCTAGCGAGGACACCAGGCTAAAAGCTAAAATAATTGAGTAGATGGTGGAATCGTTGAGCCTAGGGGTGTTTGTTTGAGACTGAGGTGGAGATGGAGTAATCCAGAGTTGTATTGGTTTGGGACTGGGGCTGTGCTGTGGTAGCAGAGCATGCGCCAAGGATGCCAAGGCTCTAAATTTGCTCTCCAGCACAACAAAACAAAACAGCTGAGTGTGTTGGTGGGCCATGTGCCTGGGTCAGACTGGATTACATAGTGAGACTCTGCCTTACAAAACAAATTATAGGCGGGCGGTGGTGGCACACGCCTTTAATTCCAGCAGAGGCAGGAGGATCTCTGTGAGTTCAAGGCTAGTTCCAGAACTAGTTCCAAAACTACAGAAAAGCCCTGTCTCGAAAATAAATAAATACATACATACATAAATACATAAATGAATAATAAAATTATAAGGGCTGGGGAGATGGCTGATTGCTTAAGAGCACTTACTACTCTTGCCAAGGACCTAAGTTCATTCCGAGCACCCATGTAGCAGCTGACAGCTATAATCCCAGTTCTGGGGATCCAGAGCCCTCTTCTGGCCTCCTCAAATACAAGATGCGTGTGGTTCACATACACATATGTAGTCAAAATACTCACATAAAGTAAAAACATATTTTTTTAATTAAAAAAATTAAAACCCTCAAAACATTAAACCAGAATTGTCTTTTACTTTGTCAGGTAGGGGAAGTGCTACTGGATGTCCTTGCCCTTGGCCTGAGGAACTATTTCTAGGGGGTTGTAACCTGGAGATTGTAACCCTAAAGGGAAACTCATGGGCAACCCAGTTCCAGGCCTTTGTTACCAGCGGTGTCCCCTATTCACTTCCCCAACCCTTCTCTACTCTGCCATCTGTCCTACCTGTGAAACTAAGAGATTTGCCCTGCACAGATGGAGCCTCAGGAAGCAGAAGGTGGGTGGAGCAGGGGGAAGACACCAGTCCAGGCTCCACCCGTGTCTGGTGTTCATCATCTGCGTTGCACATGGCGGATGCCTTGGCACCAGAGATCTCAAGGGATAATGAAAAAGTTAACCAAAAAGGAGGGATGGCACTTGACCCCTGGGAGATTTGGACTTTATTAGCTTCCATTGCAATTGATAAAGATCAGCAGGGCATGATCCAGTGGAAGACGGCGCTGCCCATACTGCTCAAAGACTAGGCTCTCTACCTTTCACTGACTTTCCTGAAGGCGCTGCCCATACTGCTCAAAGACTAGGCTCTCTACCTTCCACCGACTTTCCTGAAGCTGAGTTACACTCAGTCTCCTTTTCATCATCCTCTAGGTCCTGATCTGATAGAAAACCCAGCAATTCCATCAGTGTGGGTACCAGGAAACACGCTGGATGACGGAGCTAGAGCCAGGTGACAGAACAGGATGAACGGCGGGCTGACGGAGCAGTGAACACATCACAGATACATTCTCTGTCTGCACTCATTGCTGCCAGGCCTCTGGCCCTCAGGTTCCAGATAGCTTTGCCCTTTCCAGACTCCGTCCCTCTGTTAATACCCCTGGAAGGGGCAGCAGCCACTGGGGACACTGGAGACATGGGCATGTTCTGCATGGACTGCCACTTGGAGTAGGTTCCCTTGGCCACAAACTCCAGTGCTTTCTGTGGGTCTTTGTTGAGCTTGATGCTGGGTTTGCTGTTGGATTTGGGGTGCTGCCAGATGATTGAGCAAGGTGCAAGTGATGGCCTTGGTCCCTCTGGGCATCCCTGAAGCCACTAGCCCCAACATATCGGATTCTGTGTCATCCAGACTGCCATGGAGAATGAGTGGGCAGGCCCAGGCACTAGGTGCCGATCTGGCTACCAGGTTGCTGAACAGAACCCCAGTCCTTGGGGACAGGTGTCCAGAACCAAAGGAGCTGTTGATTGAGGAAGTTAGAAGGAGCATAGAACCGCTGCTGTCCACAGTGGCCACGGCGCTATTCCCTGAGGTCATGGCAGTTTGCAGGAGAGACAGACAGGAAGTAGGGCTGGGTGTCCTGGAGTGAAGGGCAGACTTCAGCAGTTCCAGAAGTTCTGGGCCAGCTGAGGGAGCAGGAGTAGTGAAGAGGTCACCCTGTGGCACGGAAAGCTGCAGTGCGGGCTCTAAGGAGGGCATGGGCTGAGCAGGAGGCTCCCCTAGCCCCAGGTCTTTGACCAGCAGACTCAGCAAGGCATCCCCAGCAAGGTTGGGGCTAGAAGCCATGGCTGCCTGGTGCAACACAGCTGCCAGTTTGGGGTTGGTAGCGCGAGCCCCAAGACTCAGTGGAGCCCCGTTGGTATGGCAAAAGAGTGGACAGAGTCCCTTGGTGCCCTGGGCTGCTAGTGCACCTGCCAGGGGTGCATCTACCTCAAAGCCCTCTTGAGCCAGCATGGCAGGCTTGACCAACAGCTGTGGCCAGGGCAGGCGGCCGAAGTGTGTGTGAAGCAAATGAAGGGCAGGCAGAGCTGTGGGCAGCCCCAGACCAGGGGCCAGGGTTTCCACTGAGCCTGCTGTCAGGGCAGTTGAGTTTCCTGAGGAGCTGTTGTAGAAGAGGCCCCAGAACATGCCACCTGTTGGGAGACAAAGAGACCAAACAGGGGTCAGAGGCACTGACCAGGGCTGGGGTCAGGATCCTCTGGCAGTCCCAGGTGGAGAAACTGGAGTAACTGACCAAGTTGGGGGTCAAAGGTCACCCAAGACTAGGGTTGGTGCTCAGATCCTGTGTCCTTCTCACTAGCTAGTCTTGAGGTAATGGCCACTGACTAGATCCCAGGTTGGAGTCTCTGTCCCGTGCCCACCGATCACACTGACCTAGCCCCGTTGCATGAGGATGTACCACCGCCAGACACAAAGCTGCTCCAACTCCAGCATCCACGACATTCCCCCCAGCGACAAGCAGCTCTTGGCCCAGCTGAGAACATGTGGCTGCAGTAAGGAAAGGTCTATGGGTGATGGGGAGATAGCCTGGACCATTGACCCCCCGCCCAGCCCCTTCCCCAGCACTGACCTGCAGGGCTGATAATGGCTCCATGGTGGTACACCCCAGGGTGATGGGAGTGCCTGCTGGCTTGAGGGGCCACAGAGCCCAAGTTTTCTTTTGGTCTGTCCCTACTGTGCAGCTGCCTCAGAGCCAGGGAGCTGCTAACAGCTAGCAGCAGCAGACTTGCCAGCAGGCGAGCCCAGGCTCCTGGCAGCCCTCTGACCTTGTTCCTGTAGAAAGGGGAGTCCTGAGCCAGGGATGGAGTGGAGGGCACCCAAGAACCCTGACAGGACCCAAGGAATGTTTTCCCAAAAGGTTTGATTTTGCAAGAGTATAAACTGGCTAAGGAGAGAGAGAGAGAGAGAGAGAGAGAGAGAGAGAGAGAGAGAGATTCCAGGTCCGAGGCACTGCATTGGCAAAGACATAGAGGTAGGAAAAAGTTGGAGAAACTGAGGCTGGCTTCAAGGGAGTGTCTACAGAAGAGCTGGTGGAGGCAGAGGCCAGTCAGTCAGAGGGAGGCCTGGAAGGGGCTTGGCACACAGGAGAGAGGAGGCTGAGCAGCAGGGCTCAGCCAGGTGCAGCCAGGTCCCAACCTGCCTAGCAGGTGCTGTGGCATGGGGGTAGGGTGAGGCTGGCAAAGCTGAAACAGGATAGGGACTGGATTGATACAAGTGTCCCTTCAGATACAGAGACCTTTGATTGACTGGCTCAATCCCAAGTTGGATCTGCCGCCTAGAGTCCCCTCCCCCCCACTCATCTAGAAAGTCCCTGGAGCTCAGCCAATGTGGGGTTGCCTGACCCAGCTTAGGGGCTCCAAAGAGAGGACCTTGCCAGCCTTCCAGCCTGAGTTATGGGGTTCCCAGGCCCCTTGATGACTCACCGGGGGGTATTTTGGGATCTCCTTAGGGAGAGGACCAGTGGCTCTGCTATTTCTTCCTCTTCCTCCTCCTCCGACTCCATGCCAGGCTCCCAGAGTTGCAGCTTGTGGTAGAGCACAGGCCCTGTGGTGTCCTCCATGGCCTGTGCTGCTCCAGGTCCCTGCCGAGAACCCTGGCAGTTGAGACTGCCAGGTAGGGAGGCAAGCAGGCTATGGTTGCTGCTGGGTGGCCTTGGGGAAGGGAGGTGGTGAAATGGAGAACAGGTCTGGGCAGGGCGGGGTTGGGCCGGGGAAGCTGCAACGAGGCTGCTTCATTAGGACTTGAGGTTCTCCTCTTTAGGAGTTCCCCAAGCAACTGCCACACAGGGGTCACAGTTTATCCAAGTCTAGGATGAGCCCAACACTATAGCCATAGACCATGGAGTCTAGTGGGGAGAGTCCCCACTTAACCTTTGAGATTTCTAACTTACCTAGATCTCTAGGAACTGTGTACATGATTAGAACCAGGATTCAAGGGTGGCTTGGGTGGTGGCTTAGCAACACCAACCAGGTTATATTGCCAGAGGTGTGGCTTCCAGGTAGGGTCAGGGTCCAGTCTTACACTGTGAGATCTCCAGATGACTCTTTTGAAGGCCACCCTGATATGTCATATGGCTCCTGTCCAGCAGGTGGCATCAGAGACATCTGTGGGGAAACAGTCTGGAAAACGTGGTTCCAATTCCTTCTCCCCATTCACACCAAGGATGTGTTCCAGGGCCAAGCAGTGCTGTTCACAACAGTCCCACATTGGAAACTGCTCAAATACCCACTCAGGAAATATACCACTCAGGAAAATGAGCCACAAAAGCCACTATTCAGGCAATGGGGTGTCAGTAGCAGAATGAGCAGGCTACAGTCATGTGTAATATTGTTCGTGAGTCAGAAGGAGCATGGTGAGTGAGAGGCCAGGCAGGGAAGGGCACACATTGTGTGTCTTATGCAAGACTCAAAACCAGGCAGGGCCAGCTAGCTTTTAGAGTCAGAATGTGGCAGGAGTGCGGAATAGGAACAGGGCCATATGAGAAGCTAGAGATGTCTGTTTTTCCTTCCTTCCTTTCTTCCTTCCTTTCTTCCTTCTTTCCTTCCTTCCTTCCTTCTTTTTCTGAGATAAGGTCTACATAGCCCTGGCTGTACTAAAACTCACTTTGTAGACCAGCCTGGCCCCTAACTCACAGAGATCCACCTTCCTCTGCCTCTCACTAATGTTTAGTAAATTAAAAGGTTTTTGAGTTTTTCTTTGTTTGAGGACAACTTGTGGGAGGTGATCAAACTTAGGCGGTCAGGCTTGACAATGAGCACCTTTAGCCTCAGAGCCAACTCAGAGGCCCTTCTTTTGTTTGTTTGTTTGTTTGAGACAAGGTTTCACACAGCCCGGGCTTCCCTCAGCTGAGGGAGGATGGCCTTGAATTTCTAGTCCTCCGGCTTTTACCTCCTCAATGCTGGGATTATGGGCACACGTTGCCATATCTGGCTTAATTAATTAGAAATAATATCAAAATGTAAGTGGGCTGGGCGGTGGTGGCGCATGCCTTTAATCCCAGCACTTGGGAGGCAGAGGTAGGCGGATCTCTGTGAGTTCGAGGCCAGCCTGGTCTACAAGAGCTAGTTCCAGGACAGGCACCAAAAACTACAGAGAAACCCTGTCTCAAAAATCAAAAAAAAAAAATGTAAGTGGCTTAATTTTTATGTCATAAAAAAGCAGGTTCATTATAGAAGGGGCCTGGATTTTTTCTGTTAGACAGCCATTATTTTTATTTGTTACAGTATTTTGTTTTTTGTTTTTGTTTTTGGAGACAGAGTTTCTCTGTAGCTTTGGGGCTTGTCCTGGAATTAGCTCTTGCAGACCAGGCTGGCCTTGAATTCACAGAGATCTGCCTGCCTCTGCCTCCCTGGGATTAAAGGCGTAGGCCACCACTGCCAAATTTGTTACAGTTTTTCTGACATTATAAAATCATCACTTTCCCACGTGGTGCCCACTAGCTGCTATTTCTACACACTGTCTATACAAGATTCATAAAAGGATCAAGTCCTTACAATATTCCCTGAACATATCCGCTGTCACTGAACTTCGTGGATAGTTTTCCTTCCTTCCTTCCTTCCTTCCTTCCTTCCTTCCTTCCTTCCTTCCTTCCTTCCCTCCCTCCCTCCCTCCTTCCCTCCCTCTCTCCCTCCCTCCTTCCCTTCCCTCCCTCC